ATTCTCTCCGTCCGAGCTTTCAAAGATTCATCAACTGTAGGTATCTGACTGATACCGACGTCTTCTAAATAATAGTGATAATTGAATAACTTACCTGAATACTAAGACTTTTTAGCTTCTTTGTTCACCACTGCAATAGTGAACTACGCAGAATGACTCCATCTTATTCATAGAAGAAAAATCACATGGTGTCAACTACAAAACATACAAATATAATTTCATAACAATTCATCACATATCATTTATCATACCTGAAAGAAGCTTGTCATGAATAGCCATACAGTAATAAAGAGAGATAATTGCAGACATCACATCCCTGGAGATAAATCAAAACATACCTACCATCCAAGTTTGTGCAGCAATGTTGAAATCGCCATATGCAAACACATGGAATAAAAGATATCAAAGACAATAACACATGATTAAATTAAGATAGCAAGACGGACCACATTGCCAAGAAAATTTGTAAAAGAGCATCTGTTGTTGGGTAGAAAGTCGGAATGAACTAAGCGTTTACCCCTAAAGAAAATGATTTACTGAAAATGCTTTGCATCCATGTTAAGTAAGTACCATGAAGAGTATAGGAGACTGATTGGCTACTTAATGTTTCCAACTTTCGGAAAATTCTAAGCTCATAGTTCAACCAAAAGAAATGCAAGAAATCTCAACTCAAAGTCGCATGAATGACCAATGGTTTTTCTATAAATAGGAATCCGATATAGATGCAAATAATATCTGCATAACAAGTACGTAAAGATATTTCAGAACCATTTTTTCTCAATTTCTCCTTTTTGTTTTCCCAAACAATGTACAAGAGAAATTTCAAGTGTAACTTGGAACATATATTCTGAATTCAATTGATTCATCAGATGTAGATGTAAATAAATGATGCATGTCTGGAGGTACCTCATTGGTTTGTACTTTAAAAGTTTCATCTGAACAACAAAAAACTTTACTTCAGAAATTATTTTGCTCCTCAAAAAACACATTTTTTTTGCGAAGGTAACTCATAAAGTTCAGTAGGAATTTTCTGTAAAATATTTGTTGTCACGCTTGTACTATTCTCTAACATATGATTTCTTGATAGGCCTTAAAACCTAAAGGGGAAAAAAATAAAAAATGAAACAAACGATATATGAACCACAAACAGTAATACAGAAAAAAAGCCTTTAATTTATAGCTCACCTGTTATACGAATATCACCTAATAATAATCCCAGAATAAGTAAAAGAAGAAGAAATAAATTAATTAGCATAACCAAAGAGTATAAAATAAAACGACAGCTAATCTATTCCAAAAATGTAACAGATGCATCAGATGTACTAAAATTCAATCCGACAACTGCATGAGAAAGAAAAGACAGTAAGCATTAACAATATGAACCTGTGTTCATATCCAACAAGAAAAACATAATAAAATCATATGATTGGGAGAATACTAAAGTGCAAACTACTAAATAGCAATGGAGAATAGATTGTCCACTTCAAAAAAGATTATTTTTCCATTATAACAAAACAGCTTTCAAATTAAGCTTAAAGTTTAGTTAATATGTATAGACTGTAGGAGAAGCTCACTTTCTGCGGAATGTTATCAATGCATTGCCAAATATGCCGCCGTGATATTGCTCTGGCCGTTGAAGGGCGTGCTTTCGAGCAGTTCCCACAGAATCATAGAGAAGCTCTAGACATCAACCTTGTAATCATAATGCTTCTTAATGTACTCCCAATTGAAGAGTTTCTATGCTGAATAAATCAGGAACCTTCCCGTGCAGCCAATTGGCCTTGGTAGATACTATTGGCTAGGATCAGTTTAATTTTCAAACTCAATTTGATTTCTACATCACTATATTGAGTTTGGGGGCCGTTAGTCGTAATATTATTATCTTTGGCATTTTATCAATTGTATGGAGATTGTTACACAATAGTTCCTTATATATTATTTGTAACCTTATAAATGTAATAGAGTTGACAAACTAATAAGAACAAAGGTGCCGCCTAAACTAAAGGGAAATTAGGGCTCTCAGTGTCGTACTTTTCTTCTCATTTTCTTTTTTTCTAACGCTATTTGTGTGTGATTATTTTTTAAAATCAATATATGGAAAAATTTGGATTTATTAAAGAATAGTACTGTTGTATGTTTATTGAAATCATAGAAAATTTCAACTTAAAAGCTGATATACGCGATCTGCACATAATTTTGTTGAACTAGACATAGTATAAATAGGATGTTACTTATCTAATTCACTACTAGAAAAGATTGGATTTATTGTCTGTACATCAAAATCATCGACAAATGTCTTCTTACAAGTTGATGCACGTGCTTTGCATGTGAGTTCATTGTACTAGATATAATAAAATTGGATGTTGCAAAGATTTAATTAACTTAATTCACATTCTCAAAATAATTTTCCCTCATATTTTGTAACTCATCTGTCCTATTCAATTTATACATAATGACAGTTTTTGTCCAATAATTTTGTTAGCGTGTTTTAAAATGAGGGACAATAGTATTTGTCGCAATTCTACATCTTTTTTAATTATTTTAAAATATGAGGGGAGAATAACTCTTTTTACCCCTTCTTAACGGAATTTTTGAATGGAAACCATCACTATGAATATGCTAATTAATGGAATGTTGAAAATAAGAATGATATGAAAAAAGTTGATATAAGTGTGAAAGTGAGTAAAGGTAATGGACATCCTGACATGAAATTAAAATGTGGTGCATTTATATAAAAAAATGTGGTGTCAATTTGTTTCCTTTATAATCTATGACTAAAATACCCATTGTATTGAAGACAAAACAAAATCTTATCTTTTATTTTCTTCTTTAAAATTTGAGCAGGAAATTGAAACTGGAAATGAGAGCTCTACAAAACCTTCCATTATCTAGTTGATTGAAATCATTGACAAATAGTGTGGTCTGTTTATTGAAATCATCGAGAAATTTCAACTTAAAAGCTTATGCACGCGAATAGCACATGGTTTACTTTAGAATTTACAACAACAAAAACTTGGGTATATTGATGGGGATGAGCAATGCAGGTCATGGATGAGTGGTGAAGGAGGGTATGGAGGTCAGTCACAGATGGACAAGGTGGTGTTAGGCCGCAACAGGATGGTTCACCCTATATGGGCCATGGTCACTAGGTGAGTGAAAGGCTATGCTTCTTGCCGATCTTGTTCTGTGGGGTTCTGTGTCAAGATTCTTCATAAAAGCATCAAAACTTTTAGATTCGGACTCAGATGATTCTTCTAAAGTTCTGGCACTCATGCAAATGAAGTCTTTCCCTGTAGCAAAACGTTAAACGTTTTTGTTTACCTAAAGATCAGAATCTCAAATATATATTTCCTTTTTATTTAACTACTTCTGTTGCCAAATATTTTCTAAAATTATGTTCTATTTCAGTTCCAACATTTCTTGAAAAGGATTGAGAACCATGACGATACTACGTACGACTCTTCAGAATTTTGAGGGTGTTAAATCAACTATCATCAAAACCATTGACAAATTTATTCATAAAAGTTTTTGCATGTTTTCCACGCTTGGCATAATATAAATTGCCATAATTCTTTGTTTCAAAGGAAAGACAAACTCTACGAAACTAGTCTAAATAATATCTCCCAATAAATAAATAAATAAAAGAAATAAGCATACGAAAATCAATTCCCGCGTCAATAATGAAAGATTCAATTTGACAGCTTAAACTATTGAATTTGGCCAAAAAAACTGGTGGGACTCTAGGGCTTTAGCGGATGAGTTCAACTTAGCGGCTGGTTTCTGCCCCCCAAAAGTGATTATTCATCCAACAAATCTAATTGCATCATTGTCTATGGACCGAAAAAATTCCCAAATCCTGAAAAAGATCTTGCCCCCACAATAATCAATTTATGTAACAATAATTGCCAGTTGCTGAATAGTGCACTCAATGGTTAAACTATCCACAATTGCAATACTAGAAACCCATATTGGTGATATAGGTGCACCGATACGCAGGGCTCATGGATGATTCGTATCTATAATTGTTGAATATTTATTGTAATTTTAACATTGTATAAAACCAATCGGAAGCTACTCGATTAACACCATTCTAGATTGAGCTACACCAATGTGCGAGTCCCGTTGCGCTAATTCTCAGTGGCATTTGAGATGCCAAATTTATCATCCGATTCAATTCAAGCACAGTATTTGAACAAGTTTGGATTATCTTTGTCCGCCTTGACATAGTCCTGATTGATTGAACACGTGCCCCAATTGCAACACATCCATAACCAACTGCTGATAGCCCAAGACTTTCCTACTTCTCATGTTTCGCACAATATAGGTATCAATGGCATACCGTCTGTCACATCTTCAGTAACCTTCTTCTTCTTCTCATATACAGGAGGGAGAGGGATCTTGATTCTTCTTATTTTATCAGTGAACTTACAGTTGAAATTGAAAACATCAGCTAAAGAAACTGTTTTAGGATTCGGCTCCTTGGCGCCTGAAAGGGAATGCAGCAGCCTAATATCATCATCAATTTGGGTTGAAATACATTCACTGCATATTTGACAATACTCACTACACTTATGAAAACACTTGCAATACTTAATTTTAATTCAACAATTTTTTCTGCAATTAATGTAACAAATTTGCATCTACGTGTTACTCACTTATCTAACAATTATATACGATACTATAATGCAATTAATGTAACAAATTTGCATATACGTGTTACTCACTTATCTAACAATTATATACGATACTATAGAATTTCCCCCTTCGTTTTGGCTCCATTTTAATAACAATATTTTTATATGATTTCATTTATAATTTTGTTTACATAAATTGTTGAGGAATATAAATTCAAATGATTACAATCATGCAACTACTTCCCATAATATAAATCAAGAATAAAACCAGGCCAAAGATCATGGGATTATTTGGCTCATATTTAGGTTTCCTTCATTTGGATGTTCATGACTATATTGCTTAGGAGGTGTTTGGCACCCATTCATGCAATTAATGTAACAAATTTGCATTTACGTGTTACTCACTTATCTAACAATTATATACGATACTATAGAATTTCCCCCTTCGTTTTGGCTCCATTTTAATAACAATATTTTTATATGATTTCATTTATAATTTTGCTTACATAAATTGTTCAGGAATATAAATTCAAATGATTACAATTATGCAACTACTTCCCATAATATAAATCAAGAATAAACCCAGGCCAAAGATCATGGGATTATTTGGCTCATATTTAGGTTTCCTTAATTTGGATGTTCATGACTATATTGCTTAATTCCTTTATTACATGTATTGTTTGCCGATGTCGGGTTTTATGAGCCTCGTACTATATATATAAGTGTGATTATTCAATGAATAAAATAAAACTTCACACCGCCACTTTTTATTAAAATTCTCATTAATTAGTTTAATTGGTTAATTTCTGTTCAGTTCACTACTAGAAAAAATTGGATATATTGCCAAATAGTGTGGAATGTTTATGGAAAACATTGAGAAATTTTGTTCTTAAAAGATGATGCATGCGCTCTACAGGTTAATTCATTATATTGCAAAGATTTAATTAACTTACAACAAAATGTTACAACACTCAATGATAAATTGTTTGAGCTAACAACTTGAATCCCTTTACAATTGTAAAGAAAAAAAAAAGACATTTTATTAAGCTTCGGAATGAGACTGTTTCTCTGTAAGTCCGTCACGTGCAAAGCACGTGCATATTACTCTTTTATTTGAAAGCTTTGCACTAAAGGTAAGTTGTAATGTAGAATTCTGGCCGATATATATATACTGGATTTTCTGCCCAAAAGACTGTAGAGAGCAACAATTTCTGCAGGATTAATGTTATCAGTGCCTTTGGTTCATTGTTGCCCATGATACTGCTCCTGCCTTTGAAGAGTGTGCTGTTGGTGAGCAGCTCCCACAGAACTATAGAGGAACTGTGAGAAGCAGTGGATGATTCTTTTTATGATGCCGATACTCCATTGCTTGGGAAATTGCCAATTAAAACTTCCTGGAAAGCCTTAGTTATGGGAAATTTGGATGAGTACTCCACGAGAACTTTTGAAGCGTCCCACCTCTCTTGAATTCCATGATTATCATCATTTCTGGTTCCATAGTGCCTTCTATAGCCTTGTATTATAAGTTTTATATACGCATATATCATTGTTGTTGTTCAATAAGTAATCAAAAAAATATAGGAACAGTTTTATAGGATTCACTTTTCTAAAAATCAAATGTGAAAAAACTGCTTAATAGATCCACCACTTACTTGAAGCTACTCACCACATTTATGAAATGGTTGTAATACGTAATATTTTTATTCAACATTTTTTGATACAAGTATATCTCTTGTTATACAATTAATAAAGAAAATTCACATACAGGTGTTACTCACGACTTACCTAACAATCAAATAAAATAATATAACTTTCCCTCCTTCCATTAACTCCATTTAAATAATAACATTTTTATTACGAAAAAAAGAATGGACAATAAAAATCAAAACCTATTTGTTTGTGTTCTTGTGTGGGACGAAAAGGGCGTATGGGTGGGGAAACAACTGGAATTTATTGAAGTAGTGTGGTATGTTTATCGAAATAATTTAAATTTTTCTTCTTAAAATCTTATGCTTGTGATGTGCACGTGATTTTGTTATAGTTGATGTTACTTTTAGAGTTCACTACGAGAAAAAGTTGAATTCATTGATGAATTGTATGATCTATTTATGGAAATCATCAACAAAATTCTTTCTAAAAGTTGATGCAGGAGATTCGCACTTGTTGAACTAAGCATAATAAAAATTGGATGTTGCAAGTAAAATCATGCATCCTGTCTTAACAGGTAGGACACCTAACGCTCATCCAGAAACATAAAAAAGGTACTTGAGCCTTGACAAACACTCAAGAGACCATCCCTCTGCTGCAGTTTTAGCAGCAAATGCACCTAACTCGGATACTGAAACCCAAATGAGCTGAGTGCCTGAATCTCAGCCTTCTGTTTCACTTCACCATGAAAGACAACTCCTCAACGCACCCCTGATTCTTCTTCAAAAAATCTTCCTCTAGCAAGTTCCTCCAAGTATTAATATCCTTCTCGGTCATTGGTAATCCACATTGCATGGGAATCTTATATCTATCCGGATCACTAGGCCCGATCCTCAGCCAATTTATGACCGGAGTCATAAAACTTGAACTGTTATATGACATATTCTTTGACCCGCAGCCATTCACTGACAAAATATTTAACCCATAGGGGTCGCTGTCCACTGGAGCCAACACAAGAAATTTGAACTCTGACTTCATTTTCGTCGGAAACAACTGTGATACCACATCCGGCAGTCCTTTTGAGTCACATGAATGGGAACCATTGTAAAACCTCTCTTCTGCTAACCTCATATAAGCCGCATCCTTCTCCACACAATTATGATTATGTGTTTTTGAAACAGAGAATAAAATTTTTGGATACAATAATCACTCTCAAAATTCTTCTTGCGCCGTGCATATTTTTTTTATTCAAAAACATTGTGCTTAAGATAAATTAAAATGTGATTCCACTAGGCAACCAAACCTTTCAACACCCTATTTTTGTCTAACGTTTTTACTCTTATCAAACACACCCTTAATTGTAATATATTTCTCTCTTGTTTTCCTCACGCGTTCCACGATTTTATAAATAAGTTAATAAAACATTTAAGGCTTTGAAGATTTATTTCTTTATATGATCTTTTTCTTGTAAGGAACCTGATTGATTGATTCAACTTGAGTGTGCTTCTACTTGCTAATTATTGTTTATTGCTATATTTTATTCATGGCTTCAGATATGGAGTGTGAAGTTCACTGTAGTCTTAAACATTTCGCTTTAGTGTAACTATTATGCTTTATTTCATTTATTCTATTGTTCCTTTTGATCTGTAGCTTTCTGTACAATGCATGGCTCACAACATAATTGACTTACATGTTCTTGACTGAGAATAATATTTACTAAGACTAGCCACATAGACAGCCAGCAAAACATTGCAGGATTTTGAAACACAGACTCCTCGGCTCTTTCTTCGTTTCTACAGACCTGGCCATCAAGAAATCTGTGGCTGGAGGAATCTTCAGTCTCTTCTTTGTTTCTTGGAGATTTTACCTCCAAAAAACTTGGTGAAGTTAATGATGTGTTGTTCACATGTAGGAGGTTGTGGAAGAAGTTTGACGTCGGGCAGAATAGTGATTATTCTGTAGGCTGGAACCAATTGACAAATACAGAGAAGAACGCAAGAGAAACACCAAGAGAAAAGAGAAAATTCTTTATTATTCAACAACTGAACGAAGATAACCCACAAGCCGGGTTAAATAACTAGAAAATATTAATTATCGGAATTTTGCCAAAAATAGCAAAATTCTATTATTCATACCAAAACGAAATACATAATGAAAGGAATAAGATCCCAAAAATCTGGCTAAATTTGAGATCGTAATCTATGTCAAAAAGGAAATTGAAATATTACTAAAAATGGCAAAAAATAACTTAAATTGATGATTCAGATGGGAAAACAGCTGAATTTCGCCTCGAAACCAATGTATATCGAGCATAGCTGGGTGCCCACAACGTGCGCGTCAGAAAGAGCTTTCCAAATTGGGGTCATGGGCGTGATTCTGACAACCATAGCCAAAGTTATGGCCAAAATACCAAAACATGTCCAAAAGCGGCCCCAATTAGGAAAGATCGATGATTACTTGTCATTCTTGCGCTGATCCGCCAACTCATGGTATCTCAGCGTCATTAACGAACTATCAAACAGCTCAGCCTCGTCTGGCTCGGATCCCCCTGCATCAAAGTTTTATTGCAAAATAGTGATTTGCAGGAATTCTGGTCAATCAGCTGGGTATCCTGCCCAACAAAACTGCAGGAGAGGCTCACTTTCTTCAGGAATATTATCAATGTAGGTCCTGCATATGCCACAATGATATTGATCCTGCCTCTGAAGGGTGTGCTGTTGGTAAGCAGTACCCACTGAATCGTTGAGCAACTCTAGACCTCAACCTTGTGATCGTAATGCTTCTTTAGTCCAGATTGAAGAGCTTCTATGCTGAACAACTCAGGAGCCATCAAAATTCAATACTAGAAAATTTTGGGATTTATTAAAGAATGGTGTAGTATGTGTATTGATATCATTAAAATTTCCAACTTAAAAGCTCACCACATGATCTGCACATTTTTGTTTTACTAGACATAATATAAATAGGATGTTACTTTTTGGTGCGGAAGCGTTTGTGAAATTCTTGTAATAAGAACTATGTAATAAATAAAAATGATATTTGAACAATCATTTTTTATATATATTGAATAATAATTAATGTTGTTGAAAAGTGTACAATGTCCTTGTATTTATAGACAAAACTATTCCTTAACCCTATTAATATAAGGAAACTAAATTCTAAAACGAAATAAACTAAAATCCTAATCTAATTAAAAATCATATTCTAATCCATAAAGAAAGAAATCATATTTTAAACAAAATATTAGAATAAACGATAAAACTTATTACAACTAGATATTTTATTATAAATATATAATCTTAATCATATTTACAATAGGATTGTCCTACACCAATATCTCCCACTCGAAAAAACCCGTCCTCGAGTTTTGTTAAAAAAAAGAATCATTGATAACTTGTGTCTTTTTGAATTTGGCTGGGACTCGAGAAAATTCTATAGCCACACATTGTTGTATTCAGTGTTTGTTGAAATAACCAACATTCATACCAGTTAAGGTCTGCAAATTCTTGTCAGCTTGCTTCTTCATGGGCTCGCAATTCCTCTCAAAATTCAACGCAGTCAACATCTGCGTGATGCTGTGAAGGGTTTCATCGATCTCCTCGATTCGTTGTTTGAGTTTGTCGAGCCTCCATTCGTCGTCGATGAATATTCCACTCCACCAGTGCCTTCGTCGGCTATCGAATTAAGGCAATTTTCTTGTTCTGATACAAATTTTGGTGCGAGAGTGTTTATGAAATTCTTGTAATAAGAATGATATTTGAACAATCATATTTTGCATATATTGAATGATAATTTATTATTGAAAAATGTACAATGCCCTTGTATTTATAGGCAAAACTATTCATTAATCCTACTAATATAAAGAAACTAAATTCTAAAAGGAAATAAACTAAAATTCTAAAATAATTAAAAATCCTATTCTAATCCATAAAGAAAAGAAAACATATTACAAACAAAATACTACAATAAAAGATAAAACTAGATATTTTATTATAAATATATAATACTAATCCTATTTACAATAGCATTAACCTACATCACTTATCCAATTCAGTACTAGAAAATGCTGGATTTATTTACGTTATATTGCCATATTTATGTCACAAAATTTTAGCATCGCATTAGTGTTTTTAACATTTCATTATTTAGTACGTCTTATACATAATACAGTTTTCGTCCAAAAATCATGTTAGCGTACTTTAAAATAGGACAAAAATACTTGTCATAATTCTATAATTTTTTGTTTTTTCTTTCTTACTTATATAAAATGCAGGGGGCGAATAAGTCTTTTTACGCCCTCTCAATGGAATTTTTGGATAGAAACCACCACCATAATCAAAATATGTAAATTAATGGAACATTGAAAAATAAGAATGATATGAATATAGGTTATCTACCTTTCATGTAATGATAATGTGGCGTCAATTTTTTCTTTTATAATCATGGCCTATGACTAAAATACCCAATGTATTGTAGATAAAAGAAAATAATAACTTTTATTTTATTCTTTAAAATTTGAGAAGGAATTTGAAACTGGTTCGAGAACTCCACCACACGTCCATTATATATGTTGATTAAAATCATTGACAAATAGTGTGGTCTGATTATTGAAATCATCGACAAATTTCTACGTAAAATCTTACACACGCAAACTTTAGAATTTACCACTACAAAAACATGGATATATTGATGGGGATGAGATATGCAGGTTATGGATGAGTGGTGAAGGAGGGTACATAGATCAGCCTGGGATGCAGGGAGGGTATGGAGGTCAGCCACAGATGGGACAAGGCGGTGTTAAGCCGCAACAGGGTGGTTCAACCTATATGGGTCATGGTCACTACGTGAGTAAAAAAAGCTATGCATCTTGCTGATCTTGTTCTGTGGGGTGCCATGTCTAGATTCTTCATATGCATCAAAACTTTTATATTCAGACTCAGGTGATTCTTCTGAAGTTCCGGAACTCATGCAAACGAAGTCTTTCCCCACGATAAAACATTTTTGTTTAACGGAAGACCTGAATCTCATATATGTATTTCCTTTTTATTTAACTACTGTTGCCGAATATTTTCCTTCGAGTTATGTAGCATTTCAGTTCCAATAGCATCTCTTAAAAAGGAATGAGAACCGTGGATAATGCCTATACATTTAGGATTTTAATGGTGTTAAATCAACTATCATCAAAACCATTGACAAATTTCTTCATAAAAGTTTATGTATGTGTTTCGTGTATGGCGTAAAACAAACTGGGTGTCGCAAAGATTCAATTAACTTAAATCAAGTTCATAAAATAATATCCCCTCGCATATCGCACGGTGCTCCAAAGTCATATTCATTCAATTGAATACAAATAATCTGTCAATCAAATATTCATTGGTTCACCAAGAATACACGAAAATTGGAAGAATTGAGAAACTCTCAGCTTTCATTAGTAAATACTAAGTTATGATGAACCATAATTTTAATTTTAAAAATACAATAAGAAGCCTTAGCTTAGTACTCTATACAAAGATAAACTCTAAAAATCAATTCCCGCCTCAATAAATAAAGATCCAATTTGAGAGCTTAAACAATGGAATTTGGCCACAAAAACGGTGGGCTCTAGGGATCACTACACCAAAAAATGCCTTTTTCAACGGTCAAAAAAGGTTGTCACGGGCCTTTTGCAACGTCCGGACGTATGTTAAGGGCTTCGATATTGCCGTAGAGTAGAAGAAATTTTATAGGTCATAGTGCTTGGACTTAAGGACTGATTTTTCTGCCTGCCCTTGCTTTTCTCCCTTCTTTCAATTTAATATTTTGCACCTATATTTGTATATAGAAGAATAATATTATGCACCGACCAATTCTTTGCTTCTCCCTAACAGAGGGATACAGATGACCTTACTGCTCAAAACAGTGAACTCGAATTGCAGTTGCAAACATTGAAACTACAAGTGCACTTAATAGTAGATGGTAAGAGTCCACCCTTGGCTACCTTTGCGTGAAGGTTTTGGTCCCATTCTAACATCTTTACCACTTTTTGGCCTCGCATAAACGTAAAGAAAAAAAAAAAAGAAAAGAAAAATTGAAAGTAGATGGTGCGGACTTGAGATGATACCGTCCTCAGTATGGAACTAGGCTGTTTCAACTTTCGCACGTTGAATGTATAGAACTCATTTGGACTTTTAAATTTTTTTCCTAAAGTGGATAAGTCTATGCGTGTTGGCGATACCTACTGCAAATTTCTAACTGCACTGCAAGTAAAAACCATGTTTTTTCGAATATCTTGTGGTTAAACTATGAAAGTGCAGACGTGATTTTATACTGGGCTAACCTACTAAATTGTGTATTTAGATTATTTGCTGGAGCATCATCTTTCCTGAAGAGATGTGGAATTCATTCAATAGGTGAACCGTTTATAGTTCGCTGCATTCAATGCAACATAATTCAGTTCTTAGCCTTTCCCCGGAACTTTCATGGTTTTTTTTTTTTTGGTAGACTCGAGAATGTGTTATATGATATTTTGCACTCTTTCTTTTTCTTTTTTTTCCTAAAAACATAGCCCTGAATGAAGCACTATAGGAAGAGATCCGGCCTATTAGAATGCAGATAGGTCAAACAATTGTAAATGTTGGACCTATAACAAATTTCTCTGCATCTTATGGAGGCAACCAGGAAGATTATCATACCAACAATGCTATGAATATAGCAGTTCAACAATTTCAACCGCTCCAGATACATTCTCAGAATCGGGAGCACCGATCTTCCATGCAGCCACAGGCTCAAGCCGGAGACATGAATCTAAGTTCTGTGCCATCTCCCATCCAAGAACACAATGCTTCTTCAGGCACATCATCAGAGGTTTAGAATCTTGAACCTGTAGATGGATTGGCTGTTGGATGGTTATCACAAGGTCCATGATCTTGCTGGTTGTGGCTTAGCTTTTTTTTGCTTTTGATTAGTATGCTTATGTATATCAAAAATCACATGGCTCTGTGTGCATTCTGTTCAATTTTAGTTTTATTATTTATCCAAATATTGTCCTCTTGAGGATCGTTTTTCCTTGTATGAAAAACCATTTACAATTTTCTATACAAGCTTGGATAATAGTGTGCTAGGTTTATGGAAAACATTGACAAATTTCTTCTTAAAAGATAGATGCGTGCACTTTACAGGTTAATTCATTTTTCTAAGCATATGAATGGGATATTGCAAAGATTTTATTAACTTACAACCAATATTGTCACAACACTCCATGATAAAACGTGTGAATTAACTATTTGAATCCCTTTACAGATAACTAAAATGATATTTTATTAAGCTTTGGAAGGAGACTACGATTCTGTGATTCAAAAGAGAGTGAAAATTTTGGATGTAGTAATGTCTCTCCAAGTTCGTCACGTGCAAACCACGTGCATATATCTATTTTATTTGGAAGTTTTGCACTAAAGGTCAGTTAGGAAACACTTTTTTTAAGAAAATCGATGATTTACCGGATTCCGGTCGATCTGCTGGACATCTACCCAACAAGACTATAGAGAGACGCAATTTCAGCAGGAATGTTATCAATACTCGGCCTTCGGTTCATTGCCGCAGCATATGTCGCCAAAATACTGCTCTGCCTTTGAAGGGTGAGCAGTTCCCTCAGAACCATAGAAAAACTGTAGACATCAACCTTGTGATCATAATCCTTATTTACTCCCAATTGGAGAGTTTCTATGCTGAACAACTCAGGATCCATCCATCAGTATGTCCTGGCCTCTGTTGTCATTTCATTTTTTATCTCCTCCATAGCTAAAGCTAAGTCAGCTAGCTTAGTTTTCTTTCTTACTTATATAAATTACAAAAGAAGAATAAGTCTTTTTACGCCCTCTTAATGGAATTTTTGGATAGAAACCACCACCATAATCAAAATGTGCAAATTAATGGAACATTGAAAAATAAGAAGGATGTGAATATAGGTTATCGACCTTTCATGTAATGATAATGTGGCGTCAATTTTTTCCTATGTAATCACGGCCTATGACTAAAATACCCATTGTATTGTAGATAAAAGAAAATCATAGCTTTTATTTTTTTCTTTAAAATTTGAGAAGGAATTTGAAACTGGTTCGAGAACTCCACCACACGTCCATTATATTTGTTGATTAAAATCATTGACAAATAGTGTGGTCTGATTATTGATATCATCCACAAACTTCTAAGTAAAATCATACGCACGCGAACTTTAGAATTTACCACTACAGAAACTTGGATTTATTGATGGGGATGAGATATGCAGGTTATGGGTGAGTGGTGAAGGAAGGTACATAGATCAGCCTGGGATGCAGGGAGAGTGAGTATGGAGGACAGCCACAGATGGGACAAGGTGGTGTTAGGCCGCAACAGGGTGGTTCAACCTATATGGGTCATGGTCACTACGTGAGTAAAAAAGGCTATGCTTCTTGCTGATCTTGTTCTGTGGGGTGCCATGTCTAGATTCTTCACATGCATCAAAACTTTTATATTCGGACTCAGGTGATTCTTCTGAAGTTCCGGAACTCAAGCAAACGAAGTCTTTCCCCATTGCAAAACATTTTTGTTTAACGGAAGACCTGAATCGTATTTATGCATTTCCTTATTATTTAACTACTTCTGTTGCCGAATATTTTCTCTCGAGTTATATAGCAATTCAGTTCCAATAGCATCTCTTAAAAAGGAATGAGAACCGTGGATGATACCTATACATGTCTCTTCAGGATTTTAACGGTGTTAAATCAACTGTCATCAAAACCATTGACAAATTTCTTCATAAAAGTTTATGTATGTGTTTCGTGCGTGGCGTAATACAAACTGGGTGTTGCAAAGATTCAATTAACTTAAATCAAGCTCATAAAATAATATCCCCTCGTATATCGCACGGTGCTCCAAAGTCATATTCATTCAATTGAATACAAATAATCTGTCAATCAAATATCCATTGGTTCACCGGGAATACACGAAAATTGGAAGAATTGAGAAACTCTCAGCTTTCATTAGCAAAGACTAAGTTATGATGAACCATAATATTAATTTTAAAAATAGAATAAGAAGCCTTAGCTTAGTACTCTATACAAAGATAAACTATAAGAATTAATTCCCACCTCAATAAATAAAGATCCAATTTGAGAGCTTAAACAATGGAATTTAGCCACGAAAACGGTGGGCTCTAAGGATCACTACACCAAAAAATGTCTTTTTCAACTATCAAAAAAGGTCGTCACAGGCCTTTTGCAACGTCCGGACATACGTTAAGGGCTTCGATATTGCCTTAGAGTAGAAGAAATTTTATAGGTCATAGTGTTTGGTCTTAAGGACTGATATTTCTGCCTGCCCTTGCTTTTCTCCCTTCTTTCAACATAATATTTTGCACCTATATTTGTATATGGAAGAATAATATTATGCACTGACCAATTCTTTGCTTCTCCCTAACAGAGGGATACGCTGCTGGAATGACGAGTTTTGTCACTTGAGCTTAACGTCAACGTTTGTAACCTTGATGTTCTTGTGAATTCTACCATTCTCAGGTGGGAACCGATGGAAACGCACTTCCAAAACCAGGGTAAGAAAGAATTGGTCTTTACCAATTTTTGGCCTTGCAAAAACGTAAAGAAAAAAAAGAAAAGAAAAGAAAAAATGAAAGTAAATGGTGCGGACTTGAGATGATACTGTCCTCAGTATGGAACTAGGATGTTTCAACTTTCGCACGTTGAATATACGGAACTCATTTGGACTTTTAATTTTTTTTCCTAAAGTGGATAAGTCTGCGTGTTGGCGATACCTATTGCAGCTTTCTAACTGTGCTGTAGGTAAAAACCATGTGTTTTCGAATATCTTGTGGTTAAACTATGAACGATCAGACATGATTTTATACTGGGCTAACTTACTAAATTGTGGATTTAGATTATTTGCTGGAGCATCATCTTTCTCGAAGAGATGTGGAATTCATTCAATAGGTGAACGGTTTATAGTTCGCTGCATTCAATGCAACGGAATTTAGTTCCTAACCTTCCCCTGGAACTTTCATGATTTTTTTTTATTTTTTTTTTGTTCAGTAGACTCGAGAAAGTGTTAAATGATATTTTGCGCTCTTTCTTTTTCTTTTTTTCCTAAAAACATAGCACTGAATGAAGCACTATAGGAAGAGATCCGGCCTATTCGAATGCAGATAGGTCAAACAATTGTAAATGTTGGACCTCTAATAAATTTTCCTGCATCTTATGGAAGCTCTGTGTGCATTCTGTTCAATTTTGGTTTTATTATTTATCCAAATATTATTTACTCCCCACATTTATGAAGCACTTGTGATACATAATATTTTTTTTTTCAATATCTTTTGCTACACTTATATATCTTGTTACACTATTGTTAAAGGAAATTAACATACATGTGTTACACACTTAACTAACAATCAAATACAATAATATAACTTTTCCTCCTTCCATTGGCTCCATTTAAATAATAATATTTTTATTATGAAAAAGAGATGGATAGTAAATATCAAAACATATTTGTTTGCGCGTTTGTGTGAGAGGAGGTGAGGGTGGGTGGGTGGGTGGAGTTATGATATATTTCTCTTATGCTTTTCACTTTAACAAGTTAATTACTTTTGCATTTCAATACTAGAAAAATTCGGATTTATTGTAGTGAGGTGTGTTTATTGAAATCATTAAAAAATTTCTTCTTAAGATCTGATGCATGTGATCCGCACTTGATTTTTTTACAGTTGATGTTACTTTTAGAGTTCATTACCAGAAAAGGTTGGATTTATTGATGAATTGTATGATCTATTTATGAAAATCATCAATAAATTTCTTTTTAAAAGTTATGACGCAATCTGCACTTGTTGCACTAGACATAATATAACTTGAATTTTGCAAAGATTCCACAAATCATATTTGATTTTCAGTAGCATCAAGAACATGATAAAATGCTTAAACCTTAAATTCTTCGTATTTTTGTTAAGTAAAATCATACATCCTGTCTTAACTGGTAGGATGCCTAACATTGATTCAGAAACATAACCATGATATTTGAGCTTCGACGAACACTCAGAGCCCATCCCTCAGCTGCAGTTTTAGCGGCAAATAAACCTCACTCAGATACTGAAACCCAAATCAGCTGAGTGCCCAAATCTCTGCCTTCTACTTTGACTTCACCATTAAAGGCAACTCCTCAACCTACCCTTGATTCTTCTCCACAAAATCTTCCTCTAGCAAGTCCTTCCAAGTTTTAATATCCTTCTTGATCATTGGCAATTGACAATGCTAGGGAATCTTATATCTATCCGGATCACTAGGCCCGAACCCCAGCCAATTTATGACCGAAGTCATCAAACTTGAACTCCTATACAACATATTCTTCGACCCACAACCATACACTCTTAAAATATTCAAACAATAGGTGGCTGTCCACAACCATACACTGCCAAAAAATTGTGGTTAGAATTACAGTAAAGCAGTTTTTTTCGTGTTCCTAATATTTTTAGAGTGAATTTATATAAAAATGCATAAAGCACCAAAACAAGATTACACCAAACAGGACTTCACTGGCCCAAGACAAATGTTACAATAAAAGTAATGCAACACTAATCAAAGCAAAGACACAAGTGCAACACTAATCAAAGCAAATGACCATTTACGGCGTGCAAAAAAGTATGCCGTATAAAATTTCATCATTTTTATGGCATGCACATGCACGCTGTAAAAAAATGAAATGGACATTTACAGCATGCCAAAATGTCTGTCGTAAGAAGTATTATCCTCTTTATGGCATGCGTTTGCATGCCATACAAGGTTTATTTAAGGCATGCAAAGCATGCTATACATGGTTCATTAATGGCGTGCATCTTTTTTTTTTGGCATGATAAGCATGCCGTAAAAAGATACGAGTATTTACGACATTGCTTTATATGGTATCACATGTATGCTGTAAAAGGCCAACTGTGTTGTAGCGATACACACACATTAAATAGCAATAAGACATCCAAATGTCAGGAGGTGGCTAATGCCGCTGACGCCCGCCACTGTCATACCAAGAAGACGCACTGTACCGATGTTCAGTGCAAGAATCGAGTCGATACCCTCAAGAAGAAGTTTAAGATCGAGAAGGCCAAGATTGCTGAGTCTAGTGGAACCACCTCGTCGTGGCCTTTCTTTTCTCATCTTGATGTTTTGATCGGCTCTAGTTTTAACAAACAGCAGCAGAAATTCATGCCTTCGTCGATCCCATTGGCATCTCAATCGACGTCGTCCTTGTCTCTGCTGTCACCTCCGATGGCTGTTCCGTTACCGTTTACTAAGTTTCTGTCTGCGATGTTTCCTACATCCGTATTCATCTCTGTGACCGCCACCATCAACTGTGGATGAGTTGTATTTCAGGAGGAATTATTCTGCTGCTGCTGCTGGCCGAGGAAGCACCTGATGCAGAGGATGAGGGGACTTGGGTGGGAAGGAAATTGAAGTGAGTGATGAGAGGGGTGCAGAGGAGGAGGGAGATGAGGGGATGAGGAAATTGGCAAAGGCAATAGAGAGGTTTGGAGAGATATATGAGAGGGTGGAAAGCATGAAGCAGAGGCAGATGGTGGAGCTGGAGAAACAGAGGATGCAATTTGCCAAGGATTTAGAGGTTCAGAGGATGCAGTTATTTATGGATACTCAGGTTCAGCTCGAGAAGATCAAGCAGGTTTAGCGATCTGGATCTTCTGATGATATTTATAGTTAGCCATGAGGAAAAGAGTTTGATGGGTATTGCTATGTGGAAGTTGGAGCACAAATAGCTTTTGAGCCCTTTTTTCTTGCTCAGTTAATATCAATATTCCTAGAAAAACACTGGTCTCGGCAAATTTGTCTGCAGAGAAGAATTTTCCATCCTAGTGATTAGATTCTCTGCTGTGTATTGTGTCTGAGTTTTATTCGTAACTTAATTATGCTGTTAATATAGTAGGTTCTATTTCTTGATGTCTACGGTTATGCCAAACTAGTGCCTGTGTTTATTGCGCGTGCTGAAACCTATAACTTTAAGGCCTTTTTCTAGTTAAAAATGTTGATTTTATATTTCCCTGGAAACTTGAAATTTTTGAACATTTACTTCATGCCTAAATATGCATAGTTTTTGATTTGCCTATATATAAAAAAAGAAAAAAAAAAAAAAAGAATAATTCTCGACATTCAATGCTGCATTGCTCTAAATTCTCCCACTAAAAATCTGAACATTTACATTTCTCAAAAATTGATCTGAATTAAACATCTTAATATTAAAAAGAAGCAGATAAGCAAATTTGAGTAACTTTCTAGCATAAGTTAAAGTTCATTGTCAACTTTCTTAGTAATTTTTCTCTTCCAGTAAACAACTAAGACGGTCCGATGATCCACTTCAGGCGTCCAAAATCAACAATAGAGTTAGACAACTGGAGAATCTAATTTTTCTATGAAAGCAAGCAAATTAAGCTAAAAAGGATAAAACTGTTAAATTAAATCCAATAAACATACAGTGAAGCATAGATGACAAAAAAACAGCAGCACGAAATTGACCTCTGCAACCTTTGATCAATTCCAATGCATTACATTTTGCATCTCTTAATCTGAATTCAAACTGGACTTATTTTCAGACTTCCTGCAGAGAATCATATGCATAGAAGTGAAATACCGGACTCTGGTGTCACAAAAAGCATCTCTTGCACATCCCCAACACCCTTTGGCTCAGTCGCCGGCCACTACAAGCACTGCAAGGAACCTCATTAGTGGAACCATTATGCTTTTCTTTTATTTTATTCTTCCTTTAGATCAGTTCTATAGCTTTCTGTGAAATGCATGATTATGGCTCACAACAAAATTGACAACTATAAGTCTCATCTTTTTATATTCTTTCTTGATTGATAACCAAAGTGAGCATAACTGCATATTATTACTAGGACTAGCTACCTAGACAGCCACCAAAACATTGCAGGATTCTGAAACACGGACTCCTTGGCTCTTTCTTCGTTTCTTCAGACCTGGCCATCAAGAAATCTGTTCCTGGGGAATCTTCAGTTTCTTCTTTGTTTCTCGAATATTCTACCTCCAACAAACTTTGTGAAATTAACGATGGCTTGTCCAACTGGGAGAATTTGTGGGGGAAGTTTTTGGAAAAATAGGTGATTTGCACGTTGATCTGCACGGTTCTGCTCAACAAGACTGCAGGAGAGGTGTAATTTCTGCAGGAACGTCATCAACTTGGGTTCATTGCTGCAGCATATGCCACCATGATGTTGCTCCTGCCTTTGAAGGGTGTGCTGTTGATGAGCAGTTCCCACAGATCGTACAGAAACTCTAGACATCAACCTTGTGATCGTAGTGCTTCTTTGACTCCCAATTGAAGAGTTTGTATGCTGAACAACTCAGGAGCCATTCATGCCTCTGTCGTCATTTCATTTTGGATCACATCCCTAGCTAAACCAAAGTCAGCTACCTTGATTTTCCTTTTATCTTCTGTCAGGATTAGACTGCTGTGCTTCAAAACATAGTGGATGATTACATTTTCAATGAAAATACTGTATTGTTTGGGAAATTTCCATTCGCAAACTTCATGGAAATTTTGACGAGTGCTCCTTAATAAGTTTTCAATGTCGCACCTCCCACAAGTTCCATAATTATCATTAGTTCTGGTTCCACAGTGGCTTCGGTAATCTTCAATTTAATGTTTTTTATCCACGTATCATTATTGTTGTTCAAGAAGTGTAAAGAAAATATTTGGATATGTGTTACTTAAAAGCTGATGCACGTGAGCCGCACATGATTAGATTGTACTAGACATATAATGTAAATTGGATATTACTTATACATACAACACTACTAGAAAGGTTGAATTTATTGTCGGTTCATCGGAAAAAGAAGAAAAATATCTTCTTACAAGTTGTTGAGAAACTAGGGTAGTTAAGAATGAACTAATTGCCTCAAACATTTAGTTCATCATTGGCATTGAAGGCATCAGGTCAAAAGATAGCATCAGTTCATCAGTAGCCTCAGAAGGGTCTTTTCATCATAGG